GAAATTTCCCAATATCTGCACATATTGATAAGGAGTATTTTTTTTACCTCACTAAACACCTAAAAACAATTCTGATATTTGGAAATATCAAAACTTATATCTTGTTTACTCACCAAACACACCCTTAGATTAAATATTTGTATTTAGGATATTTAGAATATCAACAATGACGAGGCAAAAATGAAATGTCACACGGTGACATGAAATATTTTAACCAATCAAAAATAATCCACTCAACGTGTGATAAGTGAATAGAGTGGCAAGCTCTACAGTGGCAATTCATTAATTTTATCACTTTTTACATTTTTTATGTTTTTAAACATAAAAAAATATTTTTATTATTTATTTTATCAAAAAATTATTCTACTTTCTTATACATTTTTTTCATAAAAAAAATTTAAAAAAAAAAATAAAAATGAAGTGCCACACCCATGTCTCACTAAGCAAAGTATTTTGCCTTTGTCATGCTATGATATGAGAGGAAGGAGATGATGTGGCAGTGCAAGGAATTCCTCTTCCTTGCCACTGCACGTGCTGTTACTGAAGTATTTTCAAAATTAAAAATAAAAGATAAATCATTTGTTAATATTCATGAGGGATAACTTTATAAATAATATGGTCAAAATAGAGAAACACAAAAAACTACTTAAAAATAAGTAGCTAAGACATACTTATTTTTTCTAACTTAAAAAAACACAGAAACATGTCAACAGTTGACTTATAAGTTAAAAATTGCTTATAAGCAGTTTTAATCAGCATATAAGCACGGAATAATACCTGCAAAGTATTCACTTTATAACAAATTATTAGCTCGATAGTCTTAAATTGGGTTCTAATCTGCTTTAATCTAAATGGATCTGATTTAAATGAATCTGATTTGAATGGATTTAATTCAAAGTCAAATAATTAAAATAATAATAATATTAATAATAATTTATTATTAATTATTATTAATAATTTTTTTTAAGTTGAGAAAGAAGCCAGCAGATAATAGTGATACTGTTAAATATTTATGTAACACCCCAACTCGAATAACCCAATTACCTAGATTATTTGAGCCGGAGTAGTTACCGTGATGGTAAATACGCATGATAATTTGAGGAATAATTTAAAACCAATTTAAACTTTAATATAAATGATAATTTCAAATATAAAATTCAAAGTAAAGTTGTAACAGTGCGGAAACTTAAATATAAAACATAATCAAATTGTTTACATTTTTTTGGGAACTCGCCCGAAAAGGTATTTATTTAATTAAAGCATCATAAATGTGGTCCACCAGTCCGTACATCTCATCACTCTCATTGACCTCCGGGATGGGCTCCATGATCAGTATTGTTACCTGCGTGTAGCAAGTAAAACAAACTACACGCTCAGCGTCAGCTGAGGAATACACTAATACAATAATTCCAAGTTGAATAGCAAGTAGACATACAATTATTCATGATGTGACATAATATAGCATGTATGTTAATGATACGTAATTGATGTCATACACAGTCATAGTGATTGTACTTGATGATGATTTCATGTTGTATGATTCTAACGAGCAAGGACACCCTTGCGCTATGAGATTCGCCCAGTTGGTACGACGAACTCACGCGGCCTTAGTCTCACAAAGGAGACCAGAAAGATAGGGGTGGTACTCGAAGCCTGAATACCATGTACGTACACTAAACCCGGAACGGGTGATGTCGGACTAGTAAGTCCCGCACATCACGCTATAAGAGACGCAATTATGCCTGATCTCTTACGCATGCATATGATATGATATGCTACAATATGTGTGATGATATGAGTCATATGATATAAACAATTTGTAAACAATATGAATGGATAAATATACTTTATTTTATTTGGGTGAAATCTGATAAAAATATTATTTAATTAAGCTACGGGGCTCGGAACGGTCGACCGTTTGGCGCGACGGTCGACCTCGACCTTCATTACGTCGGGTTGGCGGAAACACCGTGACGGTCGACCGCGGTTGACCGGAGGTCGACCGTTGTTGACTGGAGGTGGACGGCGGCACTTGGCTGGACAGGCGACGGTCGACCGTTGGCCACCGGCGGTCGACCATTTGTCTGACAGTCTTGCTCCGTTTCGATTTTTAACGCGACGGTTGACCGTTTACGTCGACCGTTCGGGTCTGAGAATCCTATTTTTGATATTTTTGGATATCTAAAATACTTCTTTGAGTTATTTTAACACTTATGATTAACATATCTATGTATTTAAAGTATTCTTAACACTTATATTTTCATTTAAAGTAAAGTATCAAGAAAAACATATTTTTACTTTATGAATTCAATGAGTTTGATCTTAAAGCATAAATGACTTATAATATGGCAATCTCCTAACGATATATCTAGATTGATATTCAACCAAGGATTGCGTTACTAGGGTGCAATGTACTCGCCTTGATATCGTAGAGGATGGAAGTGATAGAAAATAATAATACGCCTCAACGAACGTTCAACGTACGGTCACCCCTATCAACTTCGAGCTTCCGACGTTCAATCTTCTTGTGAATAACCTCCGGAAGTTCCTAATAACCACGAGAGAGTTGACGGTAAATATTTGGAAAGAAACGATGTGAAAGTGATGAAGAAACATGGCCAACCCGAGGAGCTCTCCACCACTGGAGCAGTCCCGGTATTTTGGTCATATCTCCTTCGTTACTTAACGAAATCATGAACCGTTTGTTGGGTTGGATTTGTAACGTCCGGGGTTACGATTTTGGTATAATAAACATTTTGAGAAAATGAATAGAAAATTACAGAATTGACGATGAAGTCGCTGCTGCGTTTTTCACTCAGGATTTTGGAACTTTTGGTACTTCTTCTTGCTCCTTCTTCTTCTTCTTGGCTCAACAATGGAGTTGGAACCTCCCTATTCTTTCCTTGCAGAGACAGCCGACAGAGAGAGAGAGAAAGTGAGGAGAGATTGAGAGTGTTGTGATGTATAGATTTGACAAAATGGAGGAGGGGTTAATTTAATACACTCCACTTTTGGAGTTATTATGTTAGTGGAGGAAATTAGTAGATTTAGGGTTGCTAATTGATACAATTGGAGATATGGGCGGCATGATTGGAGATTTTGGGGAATAAAAATTATTCTCCTACTCCGTAACTGATAAACTGACTAAAACGGTACACACTTTTTCGCCCAAACTGTTCTGATTTGAAAACGGATCGCATATTTTGAATCAGACTGTCAAAACTAAAATTTTGATATAATTAAAATATTTTTCTGAAAACTTTTCTTTTTCAGTGTTCGGGTCTATCTCAGTCATTAATTAATATTTAATTCAATTAATTCTTTTAGGCCTAATTTCGGGGCGTTACAATTTATCTGTGATGAAATGAAGTATTCACTTTATAACAAGACGATTACAACCATTTTGGAATTTTCGAAATTAACACAAACAAACAAACAAAAATGTAAAAAATTAAACTAAAAACAACACTTTACTAAGAATTGGGAAGAAATTGAAACAACAAGGGTTACCAATTTGTTGAAGGAGATGATAAAATTGGAGAAATTAGAGCTTGAAGGAACTGCCACACCTTTGCCTGGAGCAGCTGGCACCGCCGGCCGCCACCGTGGTCGGAGCTGCGTAGATAGCAGCGGCTTGAGCCGCTTCTCCTTATCGGTGATTTTTCTCTTCCCTTGATGGAGGTAGCCTTTCCAATTTATAGAGCAAGAATTGTTCCGTTGATTTCTTTCCGTTGGTGATTAATTACTGCAAATCTTGCGGAAGAACATTGCAGCGTCGATTTTGAGCTGGTCTTGGCGTTATCTTCGTTGTCGCGTGAATGAAGAAGGAGAAAGCCGCTGCATTTTTGTCTTCGTTTCTCGAGGAAAACTAATGAAATGGAGAACGGTGGGCTGATCTCTTTTTGTGTTGGGTTTGGGCTCCGGCCCAAATTTGATCTCTTCCTTTAAAACTTGGACTTCTAATTCAGCCTTTTGCTACATTTTTCTTCAAAAAATAAGATATCTAATAATTTTGGGTTAGGAAAAATAAAATAAAAATAATAAATGTAAAAAATGATCAAAAGCTACTATTTAAGAAATAAAATTAAAAGATTGTGAAAATAAGAATTAAAATAAAACTAAGCTAAACAACTAAAAATTAAACTCTAAAAATATTTAAAATGCCTAAAATTGAATAAAAAGTACTAACCCAATCCCGACTTATCAGCATGTAAAATAGTACTCCGATATTATCAATAAATAAATAAGTTTTGTTTAATGCTACATTTTCCGATTCAAAAAGTTAGACCCGTTAACACCGTGAGTCGAATATTCGAATAAACTCGGGTATCTGGGTTGTGGCGTTACAATTTGGTATCGGAACATTAAGGTTTTAAAATGATTTTCGGACCTAATATACATAAGGAATAGGAGAGAATTATCCATCTCATCCACTCCACCATCAGATCCAGGCAGGCATTTTATTACTATTTGATTTAATATACTAATGTTTAATTGAATATATTTAAAGTATGGAAAACGTAATGGATCTAGACTTGATTGACTCGAGCGTTGGCTCGAACAACATCGAGATGCCTGAAACTGAAATAAAAATAGAGACTAAGAACCTCCTTGGAGATTCCTATTGGGCAACCTATCATAAAAAAAGAGTTTGGAAGATGTGGGAACGAGCCTACGAGTGGGATCATCGTGAGCAATTAAGAAGGTATGGGATTCCATGTGCACCACCTTTAGAACCACTCAGGGAGTAACTGAGCCAATATCAGCAGAGGAACCATCAGCTAGTGAACCGCCTAGATTTGGATATGGAGGAAATCTCGAAGATAGAGTTCTACACTTATCTTGGGAAGCGAAAAAAGGATATGGACCCTTTCATGGAGGGGACATCAAAACAGAAATGGCCAAAAGAATGTCTTCTAGCGAAGAAGATGATATAAAATAAGAACTTAGGAAGAAAGTCTGTTTGTAATATATAGAATGCTCAATAAAACGTAGTATGTGAGATATTACTAATACCAATGTTGTACTTTTTAGATGAGTACTCACTCTGTTCATAACAAAAATATTACGCGTGAAAAAGGGACGAATCAAAACATCCCAACCATTAACCCAAATTTTGGCAGCAGTCCAACACATGGCGCCACCGCAGTATACGGTGGAGAAGCTGAAAAGAAACGGAGCCGAGGAGTTCTTAGCTGACGATATTAAAAGACCAGCCAAAGCCGAGTACTCGTTGGTACGGACAAAAAGAGCTCTAAAAACTCTAAAAGTTCCGGAAGACGACAAACCACAGTTGGCCGTTGCACTACTACAAGACGCCGCGTATGACTGGTGGAAAAGGATTGAAAGAGATCCCGCAACTCCTGAACATATCACATCGGACTTCTTTAAAAATGTTTTTAAAGAAGAATATGTTCTGGATATGTACCGAGAAGCAAAGCGCAAACAATTTACAGAGTTGAAGCAAAATGGTCGACCTTTGATCGAGTACTGGCAAGAGTATGATAAGCTGGCAGAATATGGGACAGACTTGATGAAAACACCATGAGAAGGTGTGAAAAGTTTGTTGAAGGCCTGAACCATGATCTTGGACTAGTTGTGGCAGTAGTTGATTATACCACCTTCAATGTAGTTTATGCAAAGATAGAACGAGCTGAAGAAAGAATTGAAGCCAGCAAGACTTGAGAAAAGAAAACAACCTTTGGAGGGTCATCTCGATTGTTTCCACATCCAACATCATCCAGGAAAAGATACCTTCCTGGAAACAAAACTTCCCCACCAAACAAGAAAACAAAGACAGTGACTAGCGCTCCGTCCAATGGTGTGCCCCTTTGTCCTCATTGCAACCACCATCATCCGGGAGAATGTTGGTACGCAACAGGAGCATGTCTGGGATGCGGGCAAAAGGGTCACTTCAAGCGGTCGAACCAACCCATCGACCTCAGCACCAAATACATCAGTGGCATCAGTCAATCAAACAAACCAAGATAGAGGGAAACAGAAAATGCAACCCTCTATCAATCAAGGATCAAGGACAACTTCTGCACGAACATATGCCATGAGGGCACGAGAGGACGACCCTTCAAATGAAGTCATCATTGGTATGTTTACTTTATATGATACTGACGTAACTGCTTTGATTGACCATGGCTCCACGCACTCTTATATATGTGTGAAACTACCATGTTTAAAAATACTTTAAAAATACCGCTTGAATGTCCCATGTTAGTATCTAATCCATCGGGGCATAATATGGATTTAAGTTTTGTGTATCGAGGATGCCCATTAACCGCACAGGGAACGGAATTCGCAGTTGATCTTATCGAACTTCCATATAAGGAGTTTGATATAATCCTCAGAATGGATTGGTTGTCTGAACATGATGTAGTGGTAGACTATGCCGCAAAGATTGTATAGATTGGTTCTGACAAGAAAAACAAGGTTGTTATCACAGGAGAATCATTTCCTAAACCCCTTGAATTTCTATCGATGATACAAGCTAAACGTCTAATGCGAAAGAAATGTGAAGCATTCCTTTGTAATGTACGGGATGTACGGAAAGAAGACCCAAAGCTTAAAAAAATCCCTACAGTGTGCAAATTTCCAGAAGTATTCCCTGAAGAACTTCCAGGATTACCTCCTAATAGAGATGTTGAGTTCTCAATTGATCTAATACCCGGAACTGAGCCAATATCTATAAGTCCCTACAGGATGGCACCTGCACAAATGAAAGAACTCAAGGCACAATTACAAGAACTTCTTGACAAGGGATTTATACGATCTAGTGTTTCACCTTGGGGAGCTCCTGTACTATTCGTGCGAAAGAAGGATGGGTCACTACGCCTCTGTATTGACTATCGTCAACTAAACAAGATGACAGTGAAAAATTGGTACCCATTGCCTCGAATCGAAGATCTATTTGACCAGTTGAAAGGAGCTACGGTCTTCTCAAAAATCGACTTGCGATCTAAATATCATCAGATTCCAGTAAAGAAAGAATACATACCAAAGACTGCATTCCGTACTCGGTATGGACACTACGAATTTACGGTCATGCCATTCGGATTAAAAAATCCACCTGCAGTGTTCATGGATCTTATGAACAACGTGTTTCGACCTTACCTTGACCAATTCGTAGTGGTGTTTATTGACGATATCCTGGTATATTCAAAGAATGAAGCATATCATGGCCAACACCTGGAGATAGTTCTTGACATACTAAGAAAGAACCACTTGTATGCAAAATTCTCAAAATGCGAATTTTGGCTTAACGAAGTTACCTTCTTGGGCCACGTCATTTCAGCATAAGGAGTCAAGGTTGACCCTACAAAAATATCAGCTATCCTTGAATGGAAGCCACCAAGGAATCTGCGAGAAATCAAAAGCATTTTGGGATTGGCCGGATATTACCGAAGATTCATGAAAGGATATTCCACCGTTGCATCACCGCTCCATAATTTGCTACGAAAGAGTGAGAAATTTGTGTAGACACCTGCGTGTCAAAAGAGTTTTGAACAATTAAAGGAATATCTGACGAACGCACCGGTGTTAACCCAACCCGTCCCCGAAAAAGATTATATTATCTACAGTGACGCTTCACTTAATGGGCTGGGATGTGATCTTATGCAAGGACACGTAATAGCCTATGCCTCTAGAAAACTCAAGACTCATGAGATAAACTATCCTACTCATTACCTGGAGTTAGCAGCTGTGGTTTTTGCCTTAAAGATATGGAGACATTATCTTTACGGTGAAAAATCGTATATCTTCACAGATCACAAGAGTTTGAAGTATCTACTCACACAGAAGGAACTAAATCTACGTCAGAGAAGATGGCTAAAACTTATCAAGGATTATGATTGTTACATCGATTATCATCTGGGGAAGAAAATGTTGTTGCAAATGCCCTGTAACACCCCAACCCGCGTGACCCGAATACAATGACCAGCGGATCGGGTTGCTACTAGATTGGCATTCAGACACAATAAATTTCAAAACAATTTAAAAACATTTAATTCAAAACGATATTTAAATATCCATCGGAGTTCACAAAACGGTGCGGAAGCCTTTAAGTATTTAATCAAAATACAACTTTGGGTTCTTGCCCTTAAAAACACAATTAATTTAAATGCAATAGCTAAACTAGATAGCTTCTCCAGCCAGCATCCATCCACCTCTCTGCCCTTGCTGCCCTCCAGGATATTTCCTTATTCATCATTCATATTACCTACGTGTAGCAAATAGGAAAAAGGGCTACACGCTCAGCATTGAAGCTGAGTGGAATCTATCTAACGTTCGACTACGCACATAGACGAACCCACTAGCTCATAATTCCATACAATATCATGCACACAAGTTTAACAGTATAATATCACATACCAATCATTAAATAAATTCACCAGTCACAAATCATTACCTTATTTCCTCTTTATTCATTGCTCATAACATAATTACCAGACTAAGTCCATACCTCCTTATTTACAACCTTATGTTCGGGTTTAGAGTCACTACCTACGGCCATGACTCAAGTCTACCTTATTTAATACCTTATGACACAACACAAGCTGATGACCAACGAAGGAGTTCTCCGCTGGGTGGGTGGTACCCCTGTCCCCTTCGGAACGACAATTCTTGGATTCCGTACGTACGTTTTAACCCGCAGCCGTCGGATATCAGATCCGCAGGGCTGATCCTATCTATTGACATTTATACTTACAATTGTACTAAAGCAGTCCTAGAGTTCCTCTAGGTAACTTAGCCATTTACTTACAACATCTCTACCATTCCGACTTATTCCAACATAAATCTCTATTTCTTATTTACATCCAAATTACAACATGATTACATTTAATTAACACAAGAGGGGTAACAATGATCAGATAACCAATCACATAACTCAACTAGCGACCTAGTGGCGGGTGTAACCACCTTCCACTTACCGTCATGCAAATCACACAATTTAGAGTAAGAATACATACCTGGTCATCCTCGTTCAATCAATTCCAATATTATCATAAGAAATAAATAAATCACAATTCAATTATAAACAAATAAACAACGTAATCAATCATACGAAACTACGAACGTGAATTTCAAATCTATATACGTAATCTAGCGTTAGATGTGCAAGTTCTGACCTCGATTAATTGACGAATTAAACAAAACAAGTCAGCGAATCAAATGGTGGAGAAATTGTGGTCCGCAGCGCAACCAGCGGCTTTGGGACTAGGGGTGGACACGGTACCGGTACAGTACCGGTACCGGAAACGGTACCGCCGGTTCTGGTACCGTTACCGTCGGCCGGTACGGTCCACTGGTTCCGGGAACCGGTACCGATACCGCCCAATCCGGTACCGGTTCCGGTGCCCATTTTTCGGTACCGGCACCGGCGGTTCCGGTTCCGGTACCGTTATTATTATTTTTTTTTATTTTTTTATTTCATTCTTTCCTTTATCAATTTCATTTTTAGATTTTTTTATTTCATCATTTCCTTTAACAATTACACATTTACAATTTTACATTTTAAAAATATAATAAAAAAGCAAAAAAAAAAACAAAATTAGGGGTGGCCGAAACGGTACCGGAAACGGTACCGGAACCGGTACCGGTACCGGTACCAAGGGGTGGCGGTACCGGAACCGGAACCGTCCCGGAACCGTACCGTGTCCACCCCTATTTGGGACAGGCGGCGACCAGCGGCGTGCTCCGGCTCTGTTCTGCTTTCTCTTCCTCTCTTTTCCGCCGCACACAGATACTCCTTAATTGTTTTGTTTTCTTTTTTGTTCTTTCTCTTCAATTGTGCGTGCGTGTGTATATATAAGGGCATGGGTTTGGGAATCCTTCTACGGGTAGAATTAGGAGTATTATATTGATTTATTATTATTTTATTATAAAATCTTTATATTTAATTATTGAATTGTAACATCTATTTTACTCACCACGCTTTATACGTATGTCCGAAGTTAGCAAACTATATACCGTTGGTAACCATTTTACGAGACCTATCCGAAAACCCAATTTTCATTTAAAACGGATAACTTACCAATAATTCATATTTTAGAGTAAATAAAATTAATATTTATTTTTATTAAAATAACGGCTAACTACTAAGCCGGTTTTTGGGTCGTTACATGCCCTAAGTCGAAAGTCAATAGCAGAACTCTGACTTTAACCAACCTTGGAGGTGAGATACAGAAGGCACAAGAAGGGGATGATTTTTGACAACAAACAATCGGACTAGTCCACAAAGGAGATAGAAAATATTTCCCTCTTACGAATGAGAGGATACTATATTTTAGAGGATGATTAGTAATACCAACAGGCGAGGTGAAAGAACGAATCCTTCGAGAAGCTCACGAAGCAAGATATGCTATGCATCCCGGTAGCAACAAAATGTTCCAAGATCTCCGAGTCAAAATTTGGTGGCCATCAATGAAGAAAGAGATCACTTAATTCACTTCCCGATGTTTGACTTGCCAACAAGTGAAAGCAGAACATCAAGTTCCGATAGGTTTACTACAACCCATGACGATACCAGAGTGGAAGTGGGACGAAATTACAATGGATTTTGTGACCAGTTTGCCACTCACACCAAAGAAGAACGATGCAGCATGGGTAATAGTAGATCGACTAACTAAGTGAACTCACTTTTTTCCGATAAGACGAGATTTCACACTAAAGAGACTGGCAGAATTATACATCTAAGAGATTGTGAGGTTACATGGAGTCCCCGTATCTATCATCTCGGATAGAGATCCTCGATTCACATCTCAATTTTGGAAAAGTTTACAACAAGCACTCGGTACAAAACTACACTTTAGTACGGCTTTCCATCCACAGACACACAGTCAGAAAGGGTTATTCAGATATTGGAAGATATGATGAGGGGTTGTGCTCTAGAGTTAGAAGGAAGTTGGGAAAAATACTTTCCGCTCATGGAATTTGCATACAACAACCGTTATCAGGAAAGTATACAGATTCCTCCTTATGAAGCCCTCCTCTATGTTGGACGGAACTCAGCGAAAACAAGCTTGTAGGACCTGATCTTGTCAGAGATGCAGAAGAAAAGGTAAAATTGATCAAAGAACGGTTACAAATCACGTCAAATCGACAGAGATCTTATGCAGACCTAAAACGAAGAGATATTGAATATAATGTTGGTGATATGGAATTTCAGCGAGTATCACCATGCATGGGAAAAGGTCTTACGATTTGGGAGGAAGGGAAAATTATCACCTAGATTTATTGGCCCCTACGAAGTTATTGAACGTGTAGGACTAGTAGCATACTGGCTAGCCTTGCCACCAGAGTTGAGCAGAATCCATAATGTATTCTACGTATCTATGCTCAGACGATCTATGTCAGACCCCACTCATGTGATGAAATCAGGCGCAGTAGAAGCTACTGTGGTGAAATCACAGTACTGAAGAAGCTACTTGGGAAACAGAGGAATCAATGCATATGCAGTACCCTCAACTTTTTCCAACTGCATAATAACATAAAACTTCGAGGATGAAATTTCTTAAGTAGGGGAGAATTGTAACGCATTGAAAACCGGTCTAGATATTTCGATAAACAAAATAATTAAGTGATAATTGGACCAGTTTAAATTAAAAATTAAAGTTGTAAATTTAACAATTATCTAAACTAATTCACATTGAAATTTTAACTCTAAAAATTATATTTAAAAAAATAAATTATATCAAAATAAAATTTAAATCAAAACAAAATTAATTGAGATAAGTAAATTAATTAGGGGATATAATATTTGATACTTATCCTAAGTTGCTACTATTGGATAAGGTGAGTAAATAGTTAATGGAGTAGCTAAATCACCATGTTTCATCCTAATCCAAAACTAGATATTTAGTCCAAAGTTATTTTTTTTCCTCCATATATATATGTGTGGTCTCGTGCATATATTTTTTTTTGAAAAATAGAAAGTCTACCAAGGCAATTACATAAGGAATAACGTAACTAGCTTATTACTAAAGCTTATACTTACGTCAAGAGAGAGAGAGCATCGGAGATCGTCCAAGTCTTAACGTCTCGTTCTAAGGTGAGTACCTCCGCCCGTATAACAATCGTTACTTAGTATAATACGTTAATATATGCTATATTTGTTATATATTCAATTGATTTAACTTCTGTCACCAATAATCGGAAACGCTGTCAGCTTTTATTTTACACATGCGTTACATCCAAATTGTCTAAAATATTTCCTAAAAGGATTCTATAATGGTTATATAAGGGTATGCGAGAAAAAAAAGGGGGTTGAAATGAATTTCTGAAAACTGTTAAGGAGGAAGACTGAAAAATGGGTCTTGATGGCGGGACATGCTTTCTATGAATTTTTACATCCAAACAATTTATATATGTTTTAAAAGAGGTATTTCAATAAAACTAAGAAGGGAAAAACTTTATTCTGAACGTAAAAAAATGAAGCAGTATTGACGCACCGCTCAAACTTAGTTGGTTTAGAAATTTACAAATTCAATTAGTACTATTTTTTTAAGAAATCATAAGAGCTTCACATGAGTTAATTATTTAACTTACTACATGCATATATGCATGGGTACTATACATACCAAATATTTTTATAAATCACGAAGTGGTACTCCATACATGTTTTATTTATGTCTTCCAATATTATGTAATATTTACCTTTAAAAAAACTATATAAAGTATGTAATAATAAAATTATGAAGTACCACTACAAGAAAATGTATGTTTTGCCGCACTTGTTTTACCACACATGGCTAAGTGTGGTAACAATTTAAGGTGCATTTAATTTCTCCACACTTAAAAGTGTTACCATCCCAAAAAAGTATATTTTCCATTTAATAAGTGTTGGTGTGATGTTTGATATCCCCACATATCCAATTACAACCGTCCATCCAACCCATCCTTTCACTCTTTTTCAATACGCCGGATGCACACACGAGAGACGATGTAATCAAATCTGAAAATCGGAAATTGAATTTTCATCTCGATTCATCAAACGCCTTAACATAGAGGGAAACGAAGGGAATCAGATGACGCCGAGGATATGGTTTGAAACCCTAGCTCCTGATCATAGATCTCTGGAGCACAAGAGATCGTGATCATAGATCTCTGGAGCTCCTGATCATAGATCTCTTGTGTAATGGTTTCTGATTGTGCAGAGTCTATATTGTAGTCTCTCGTTGTCAAGAATAAAATCAATCCTGGGAAGTGGACGTGACTCTTAGCTTGCTATCATTAACGAACTAAATGTCCCAAGCATAGTTATAAGTATTTTATTTCATAGTGGTAATAAATATCTAAATATCTCCTAGATTAACATAGAGTAATTTTGCTGGAATTGGCTTCAACTTTTATCCATTTAGATAACTATTTTTGCAGGAAGAGCATTCTACCATGGCTCATTTGCTGACATAGAAGCCTACAGAACCTGGGAAGTGAAATTGCAATGGCTCAAATTTTACAGGAATAGGCTTTTCAAGTAATAAGATAATGGATCTGCTCTTTGTGTTAAGTGTTGTTAGCTTTTAGGGCCTTGAGAAACATTGTATATCATAGTTATCATCTTATGGTTTGTATTGACTTTGCTTTGTCTTTGCGTAGGATTTTAGACATTCTAACATGTTTTTGTATTTAGTTTTTTATGAGGGGCTTTGGTTTGGTCCTCCCCTTTGTAACTTTTCCTCTCTTTTAATAAGAGTTAAATTTCTTCATTATATTAGTATTACAATTTGTGTGTGTGTGTGTGTATATATATATAGTATTTTATTATATAGTGTCTTAAGAGCACATGTAAGTGTTGCTAAATTAAATATTAGCCACATATATAAGTGTGGTTAATTATATTCATTAGCCACACTTATTTAAAAGTGCGGCAAAAATTTACCCACATTTACGTAGCCGCACTTGGGGCATGTGTGGCGAACTCCTTTTTCCATATTTATAAGTGTGGCGAACAACATTTTTAAGTGCGGCAAAAAATCTAACTTTCTTGTAGTGTACTCATGTATATATTATTGGAGATTTATCAATGATTTATGATATGTGAACTACGGTTCACAAGTTCCAAAGGGTTAACCAGTACCCCATTGCCGTATGTACGAGCTCGTAATAATGGACTCATCTTGTACCCAAAGTACTTGAAGTCATAGAAAGAGATAATGGACTCGTCTTGTACTCGAAGTACTTGAAGTCCTAGTTAAACAAAGAGTAAAAGAAAAGTTGATTTTCTTGATACTACATTTTTATATAAAAATATGTTTATATTATTACTCTAAGAATTTTTGTGAAAGGTTTATGTTTACGTTATTATATTTTGTACCAATTATTATAATTGGTACCACTCAGCTTTTGCTAATCGGGTTGGCTCCACTTTTTTTAGGTACAAAGTCAGGAAATGACAACCTTGTCGGAGGACAGTACTGATGTGGAGGGCACTGGACGAGTGGGTCAAAATGTTACTATCAATATTAAAATAAGTCATGTTATGACAATTTAATAATGTTTTAATATTTTCAAGTTTCATTTCTTCCGCATGTAAAATAGTACTTCGATATTATCAATAAATAAATAAGCTTTGTTTAATGCTCCATTTTCCGATTCAAAAAGTTAGACCCGTTAACACCGCGAGTCGAATATTCGAATAAATTCGGGTATCCGGGTTGTGGCGTTACACTAACAATATCTCTTAAATTATATTGACAAATTATAATAAAAATAATATATTTATAGTGTTTTTCATAACGAGTAAATTCCATATTTAGTTCATAGTTTTATATCATTTTACATATTTAGTCCCCATTTATCAAATTTGACAATCATAGTCCCCATTTATGTTTGGCCTTGACACATATGGAACTCCGTCAAGCCAATAGTTATCTCCTCGTTAAATTTGGATAAAAAAGCAGAATAAGAATAGACCACAAATACGCCACCATGAACACCGCTCGTCTGTCACTCATGGGGTAAGAACCCTAATTTTTTTCTTCCCCGTGTAATCGGAAGAAAACAAGAGATTAACATGTTCTTTTTCATCCTCCTAACCTTTATGGCCGACCTCGAAGGTGAGTAATTTTAGTATTGAGATTTTTCGATCTTTTTGCGATCTGTCCCAATCTCTCTTCAAATCTGGGTTTTTTTGTGTTATTTTAAAAAGGCAATACACCTGCGGTTATAGCTAGCACAATAATTTTTGCATATTATCCTAATCTTCCAAGTAATTGTTTACAAGTAATCTTAAACTGGATAAATCCAATCTACAATGTATGATCCAAGTAATTATGGGGCCTAAATGGGATAATTCTTTCCATTTGTTATCGTAATTGAAAAAAACACTTACCTAATAATGAACATTGATAAGAGAAGTCAAATACTTTGTAAAGTTTGAATATTTATAGGAAATATTAAAGAGAATAATCTAGATGAATTTTTTAAACCAATTTTCAGTCTAATGCAATTTTCAATCTATATTCTTTCAGAATTCTATTTTTTGTCTAAAGTGGTATAATCATGTTCTTTTTTGTGTTTCTTAAAGGTACATTTGAACTAAAATTGAGGTTAGGAGGTTCATTACTTATAGGAGATTTGATTCCACAATATGTCGGTGAATTTTGTAAAGTACTTCCAAAAGCATCATTTGAGCAATGGGAATGTTGTTTATAAAAAGGTCTTGTAGAGGATTTTGTCTTTAGGCAATGGGAAGATACTAGCATATTCTCTCCAACCAAAGATGGTCTGAAGGAATTAATAAGTGATAGTGATGCATGGGAGTTGGTTGGAATAGATGAAATGCCAAGTTCAATTGAAGTTTGGGTGGTTACTGGTAGAGTAAATGGAGATGGAACCAAGGGTCATCCAACCGACAAAGAAGGTTTTGGGAGTGAAACCTTTAGTGAAGATGATGGTGCTGATTCAGAACATGACAGTGGTGGCAGTGATGATGCATTTGAGGGCTCACATGGTAAAGATGATGATATGTTGTATGAGGCTAATGTTGATGACACGGTGGAGTTTGGTGGGGTTGGTCTTAGATCATCCAAGTGTGTGCCCGAGAAAGAGATCATAGAAGAATAACTTGTAATGGGGAGTGATGAGGATAGCTTGGTAGACAATGACGATGAGGAATAGACTAAAGTGAGGGCTCCAGTTTTCAATCCTAAAAGAGACTTAAAGAATCCCCGTTTTTCTGTTGGGTTGTTATTTGCCACAAAAAACTATTCATTGAGGTAGTGAAAAACTATGGTCTTGTGAATGGTATATGCTTGAGGTTTGATAAGAATGACAAAAGGAGGGTATTTGTTAGTTGTGTTGTTGAGGGTGAGAAGAGGAAGAAGTGGACACAACACGACGAGGCAAGTGGGACTAGACCAAAAAGTAGTACTTGTCTTTAGAAGTTGAGAATTCATAAGGTACATGGCAGCACAGACTACATGGTTACGTACTTTAACGATGTCCATGAAGGGTGCACCTGGAAGTACTACAAAAAAGTGATGAACTCCACACTCCTTGCTCACGGTGGAAGGGAGAAATAAAATACCATCCAAAGTGGAAAGTGAAGGACTTTAAAAAATGTGCGCAGGCACAAGAAAAGTGCCACCTAACATACAGACAAGCATGGAGGGCACTAAGAATGGGTTATGCTCAGGATCATGGATTGGCAGAGGATGACTACAAGTACTTATGGAGATATGCTCAAGAAATCATGAGAACTAATCCGGGTACTACATGTAGAATTAACTTTGTCGATGAAGGAACTGAACACAGATTTCAGAGAGTGTACTTTTGTTGGGAAGCATCGCGAGAAGGGTTCAAACATTGTTGGAAGATCATAGGTATGGATGGATGTCACATGACGTGCAAGTTTGGAGGTGTTTTGTTGGTTGCAAATGGGTTGGATGGGAACGAGAACATTTTCCCTTATGCGTATGTGATTGTAGAGAGTGAAAGAAAGGAATCCTAGACATGGTTTTTGGAACAACTCAAATCTGATTTGGGACTCAACGGATCAAACGAAGAAGTAATCACCTTCATGTCAGGTAATTACTTTCTTATAATATATACAAGATTTTTTTAATCATTCTTTTGTATGTTACATTTCACATAGTGTTGAAATAAATGTTTAATACTAATTGTATATACATTTTCCATATAAACAAAAGGGATTGTTGCTAAGCTTTGAAGATGTGCTACCCTTGTCAATGCACAAATTTTGTGTAAGGCACTTAGAAGACAATTTTAAAAATGCCGGCTGTGGTGGTAAGGCATTGAAGGACCTCTTATGGGAGGCTGCAAAGGCTACTACAGTTCCAGACTTTGAATTAGTCTTAAGTGAGATAAAGGAAGAAAATGTTAGTGCGTACAATTGGTTGATGGATAAACCAGCTTCATAGTGGTCTAGATCGCATTTTCACGAGCACCCGATCAGTGACATCCTCACAAATAATATTTGTGAGTCTTATAATCGGGTACTAAAGGAAGCGAGGTCTCAAAATCTAATCCAATGCCTAGAAGCGATTCGAGAAATGTTAATGAAAAGGTTCTTTGCTTTGAGAGATAAAGCCCCATTAGTGAAGTTGGGCAATCTCAAGTTACACAAGAACTGTTACTCATCCCTGCACCTTGTTAGAAGTAGACTAAGTATATTGATGTAATACATATCTGTGTGATATGTACTTTTTGTAATGGATTTGGATTTTGAAAAAAATTAGCAAATCCAAACATAGTGCAGGCTAAATACATTACTCACTAGGGCAATTTGATGTTTTGTTTTTTGTCATGGATTTGTCAAATGCACCTTACAACTCCCCTGCCTTCTTTTGTCAAATGCACCTTACAATTCTCCTGCCCTCTTTGATATTTTTATCAAATAAGAAAGCATTTGTTTCCTCCCCATTTAGATGCCATATGATGTTGGGTATACTTCTCACATCTACTGTCCATCATAATTCATAACAAACACATATTGAGTTTGTTTAAAAAATGGCCAAAGGTAGGCTAAATTTTCATTTGATTACATTGAAACAAATGTGTGTGGGTCAAAGCATATAAACATGAGCAATTCAACCTTTTATTTATGCCTATGAGGGTTCTTTCACTGGTAAGTATATGTAATTCCATATATTCCAAAACAAAGAGTAGAAAAAAAGAACACAAAGTGTTTCACATAAACAATGCCATTCCACCCAACTTGAAAGAAACACCTAGTTAGGAAAAGGTTTTGTTTTACATAAACAACACATAAAACGCAGCTTACAAAGCGACACAATACATAACTATAATGAAATGGTTTTGCCATTTTACATAAACAACGCGTAACACGCAACAACAAAGAAAGACAAGACACAACTAAGAACGAAAAGGTTAATATGGCTCATTGTCCTTCTCTTTCACGGTTCATTGGCTTTGATCGTTAGTACTTGATTCTTCGTCTTGAGCGTTAATCCTGTTAAGAAGGCCAGGAATGATATTCTTCGCTCTATCGCAAATTAGAGGATCGACCCATATCCAACTCTTACATGTCTTCCTTCCCTCTGAAAATTAAAGACTTAACAATATCATGTTAAACGAGCACCTTCAATTATCAAACCACGTCAATATAAATTAATTAGAAGATGATTGACTTTCGTAGATACAAAAAATGGCACAAGGCAATGAAATTGAGCAAT